GGAAGGGGAGGGGGGGAAGGGGAGGGGGAGGGGGGCAGCAGCACTGCGCATGTAAATGCCGGTACACTGGCGCTTCCTTGTTTTTTTGCATACCTTTTATGCCACGCTGCTACGTATGACTTGGGTAAATGGTAGTAATAAAGACTTGATTGGTATATCGTATATTTTGCCCCGCGCTTACCTTGCGCGCGCGTGTAGTGGGTATGCTTGCTTTTGGGTTCTCCAGTTGTTACTCTGCAGCTTGCTACGTCTGGTGCTGTGTTTGGTGCTTCAGCGGTGCAGCGGGCTCATGAGAGCTTTCTGCTCAACCTGAGGTACGCTCTTTCCGCACGCTGGACAGCAGCCGCAAGCGCGGTTAACCCTCTTTTGTCCTGTGTATTCAAGGTGTAATGTAACGAAACAAGAGGTGACCGGTTCTCCGGTGCGTGTACGTGCGGCCGGCGAGTCGGTGGTGTTTGCTGCGTGCCCTTTTGGGTTTGGGGGGCACGGGTTTTGGAGCGCGGGTGAAGGAAAGAGTACGGGAAAGATGAGGAAAAGTGCAGACGCCCTGCGGCGTTGACAAAGGTCGCCCAGGGAACTACGCTTGTCCCCGGTGGTGTATTCACGTTTTGAGGGTGTGTCGGCCGAATTGGCGAGCTGCCAGAGTGAAGTGTTGCGCTCCATGGAAGATTTTTTTCGCTGCTCCTCCGGACGTCCTGTTGACCCACTTTCATTTTTTTTTCTTGCTTTTTCTTGTACGGTAGGGGCGCGGCGGTGCCAGATAGATTCGTTACGCGAGTTATGCATGTCCTTCTCTTGTTGGAGGACGAGTGCCCATGTATTTTCATAATTTTTACGGTCGTTCGCGTGAGCGGTATCTGGTACGTGAGCGCAAGCATCGAAGGGCGTGTTTCCAATTGATTAAACTAACAACAAGGATCTTGCGATCACGTGGGCGCAAAAGGACGACGCAGTGTATCGCAGTATGTTTCGTAGTGTGAAGTCCTGGTCGGTGGCTGCTTTCAACTTGCTTTCCATAGGGCAAAAGGCCCTTGAACGGTTGATCTTGAATAGACTGCGTGGCGAACGAGTGACCGCCGTGCTGCAACGTTTCAACCACGCCCCATTGAAGAGGGCGCGAAGTGATGATGCAGCAGTAGGGTGAGGTTCCCCGAAAGATGAAAAGATGAGTAAACGTTGGCGTTCCGTCGGAAGTTCAACCTTACACATGCCGAATGGAGCGATTGTTTTTAGTTAACAACAGTGTTTTAAGCCCGTCGTTAAACTTGAGAAAAAATAAGACGAAAATCAGTCAACAAACGAACAAGCCTTTTCAAGTGGGCCGCTCACCGTTTGTGGCTTGCGTTGGCCTATGGATGGATCAACTGAGACAGATGGTGAGATCGTTACCACGCCGCTGGACGTGTGTTCGCCGTCACCCTAATTGATGTCGAAAACCGTAAAGCTGACAAGAAAAAAAGAAAAAAACACCACACTGCCGTCAGGTCCGCAGCCTGTCGTGTCTCGTCTACGTAGTGCCTCCACGACTGGAAAATGAAGCCCTTGAACCACCAGAAAACAAAAACAAGTGTATGTACGTCCAAGTTTGATTGTTGAAAGCAAGCCGACGAATGTCGTCGGCGTTGCTCTTGTAGTTCAAACTGTTTTCGCTTCTATCGGTTCAGGCTGTACAGAGAACGGGAGCGGGGGGAGAGACTCCTCATGCACGCAACACGTCGAGACATGACAGGCACTGAAACGGAAGAAACCAAGAAATAAAAGCTGTACGTCTACCTACTCGAGTATCAGCCAGTCATTTTCTAATCGGTTTCGTTCAAGCTTGGGTACGGAGTAGCTGAAGGGACGAAGGTGCGCGGGGCTGCGGATAATCCCCCCGCGCGGTTGTTCGCCGGATAGTCGGCGGCCAGTGAATCGTAGCACCATTTGTTTAGTCTGACAAAAACAAACGCGAACCGAGAGATTTCGCGACGGCTGCATTGGGGGTGTCGTGGCAGAATCTGGCAACGCAGCAGCAGTGTAACTTGTCGTCGGGCCTTTGCATATTACTTAACCTACCGACCCCTCTTCCCTGCACCCGTGGGCTTGACAGCAACAACCTGCTCGGCTTTCTACGTGTGCAAGAGAGTGTGGAGCGCGAAAAAGGATAATTTAGGGCCGAAGGAACGACGTTCACCGTACTTACTTGGGGGGCAACACTTGAGGCGACAGCATCTCGATGGATGTGAAAGAGCCACCTTCTTTCATTTTCTCGTGCCACCCACAAAGCGCACTTCTCAAAAAACAAAAAAGTGGCATGACATGACCTGCAGCATGACCAACGACACCAAATCAACAGTGACACCTCTCCTTAACCCCCTCGCCCCCCGACTTCGTAGCTGCCGCTGCGCTGCTGCTGCTGGGAACATTAGAAACACACGAGCGTAGACCGAAGGATATCGGTAGGCCTTCGTTTTCCTGATACTTCTCCGCAAAAGATAAAGCCATGAACAAAAGAATAACGTCAAAACATGCGGAGGAAAATAAGGTCCCCGACCTACGCGAGGGAGCAGCAACAACAAAACAAGCACAACATCCTCCACCCATCTCCGCCTAGGCAATACCAGCAGCTGCTTGCTGAACGACAAAAGTAACAAACCAGTGCCCACCTCCAACATACAGAGCTAAATGAACCTAACCCTAAAACCTACCCCGCCCTCGCCCCCCGCCCCTCCCCCGTGGAGAAGAAAACCC